GCCACACATCGTCCTGTGCAAACTGAACTGAACTGAACTGAACTGACCTGACCTGACCTTGAGGTAGTTGTGACTTTTGGGTGATTCGTTGCTGACCATGATCCCCAGTGCTGCGTTGTTCGAAAGGCCACAAATGCCTCCTGCGAGGCACCTGTTGCAATTCAAAGCAGGAAAAATGACTCAGGACAGTGATAATTGGGTTCATGCGGACCCAAGAAAGGGTTGGGTTTATGTTTATCAGTCAGGCGATGGAAGATTGCACTTCACATGGATTGATAGGAAGACGTGCTTGGTTGAAGACGTTTGTGCATTGTTATTAAGTTGAATAATTCCTAGGATTTCGTTATTGCACCAAAGCAAGGTGAATTCAAGAAAGTAATGCAATGCACCACTGGCCGCGTTTATTTGCTCAAGCTCAAAGGCCCAAAACGTTTCTTTATATGGATGCAGGCATGTTTTGTGTTTTTTGATAATACTGAGTTAAAGGAGCCTAATACAAAGAAAGACGATGATATTTGTACCAAAATCAACGATTATATCGAGTTTGTCCCTGCACAAACGAATACACAAAGTAATTCCCTAACGGTTACCTAACCTTTACAGGTGACTGGCTCACCAATTTCGGTGGTCTCAATCAGTTTACAAACAGTGATATTTTGGCTTTAATATGTAAGTTTTTCTTTTTTCATCTAATATTCTACTCAGCAATGGGAGTGGGACTTGGCAGTGGTCTATCCTCGGAATCTGACGTGTAAGTTTGCCCATTAACGTTCCTTCAAACCGTGATAGTCTCTGTTTCACGACTATTTAGTCTCTCTTAAATTGACTGATGTTCCTTTTTCACTTTTTCTAATGGGTCTTTTCCGCATTCTTGATGACAATGTAACTCCTGGCACTAATTATTTAACCACACAAGGCCCAAATGGAGCAAAAGCCGTATCTTTCTAACGCTAACTTTGAGTAGTCATAGTGTAGCTGTAATTTATCATCCTAGAGTTCAGAGCTTGCCAGCATTGTATGTCCTACCTTTATACATTTGTTCCATATTTCTGGCTGTTGCCGTGAGGTTACCCCTTTCGGTCGATTAAGGATACAGCAAACAGAAAAGTAGAAAGCACTAGGGTAAAGAGACAGTACACCATCGACCTTATTTTGCGGAATAAGTGAGTACATCCTCAGGTGCCGCTATTTGTGATATTCACTTATATCGTGCAATGTCCCTTAACGCCAGTTGGATCGATCCCGAGATCATCACAGTGCGATTGTTCTTTCATTCTCACTCGTGTCCTCGCACGGCTGAGTTTCCCTCTTACCCTCTGATTATTCCATTCCCCACGATTTGCACAGCCTCTATTCCATCGACCTGTCACTAGGCTGTTTGATCACCAGGTGGTAATGTTTGTCTATTTTTAACTGTTGTCTAGTTGTGTGAAGATGGCCCCCTGCTACTCACAATAGTAGTCTACTGGTCTGGCTAAGTACTGAAGGCGGCCTGTAAGGTCACTGGGCTGGCGACACATCTCTTGTTGCAACTGGCCTATCCGGTCAATGGCATGTATTTGGTGGGATAAACTGAAGGATATGGCAACCAACCGACGGCAATGGCGTTTTTGTTGTCATTTATTATCATTTAGGTTTTACACCGTGTTTTTACCAGAGGTTCACTTTCTTTTTCTCCCTCCAATTGGACCCAATCCCTCTCCACCTTGTACTTCATCACTTGGTTCGTGTACATTGTGAGCTTGGCAGCGATCAGCGAAGTTCAATTTACTTTATCTCGCTGTAAGATGATAATCATGATGGTGACTTCTTTGGGAACACGAATCCTCCATCAAATCACTATGAAATAGGCGACGGCTTATACGCTCGCTTTATCCTACCGTCGCCAAACCATGTAAACAATGTCTCTACTTTTTTATTTATTGAATATACAAATGTACAGTCAACTTTCAGGAACGGGGTCTGCGGCCATACAAAGGTGCCTGGGAAATACAAAAAATAGAGAAGACGGGTAGTGGTGGAGCGGTTTGAACCCGGGACTTCCGGGTCACAATTCGATGACCTAAACACTTGGCCACCACCATCGATAGTCGGTAACTTCTTCTTTATGCTGGTCCCCATTCATAGTTAAGCTTGCTTCTCGTGCTGTGCGCAAGGTTGGATTTCTATTTCGTGCCAGACGTTTTTTCACCCCAGCCTATCTTCTGTTGTACAAAGCTCAAATCCGCCCTGCTCTTGAATACTGTAGTCACGTGTGGGGTGGAGCTTCGTCCTCTTCCCTTTCCCTTCTAGATCGTGTTCAACGAAAGGCCATCCGGCTAATCGATGATCCTTCTCTAACATCCAATCTACGGTCGCTAGCCCATCGTCGGGCAGTTGCTTCATTGTCCCTCTTCTACCGCTACTACTTTGGTTTTTGTTCTTCGTAACTTGCCTCGGCAATTCCTCTTCCTGTAACTTTTTCCCGTCCTTCCCGTTCACAGACATCCAGTCATCCTTACCAGGTTTTTGTTCCAAGGTGTCGTACCTCTCTACTCCAATCTTCTTTTTTCCCCCGAACTGCCAAACTGTGGAACACTCTCCCTCTTGTTGTTTTCCCCCCAACTTACAACCTCACACTCTTTAAACACAGAATCAATAGACTGAATCTTACGTGAATGTTCTCCTACTCTCCCCTTTACAGTATGCTATTTTGCACATGGGGATTTCCCCGTTTACTGTAATTCACTTTGTGTAATAAAAAAAAACTTCTAGACGACGAATATCTTCCACGTGCAAATTTGTGGTCTCGCAACCACAAAGCAAGATTAACTATAAACTGGCGCAGTATACGCAACCTTTCAGTTTCTGGGGAACCACGTATGCACCAAAAGTGTTCCAGTCCTGCGTAAGCTGCTCGTGTCTTGGAAATGCAGCGGTTACTTTCTTAACTATGCTACGGTCATTTATTACGCAACTACCTAAGTAAGAGAAACATTCCACCGTAGCTAATTCTTGGCTATCAAGCATCAGCGCCGGGGTAGACAAGACCCACTCTTGTAGCATTACTTTGCTTTTTGAGGATGCAATGCAATGCAACACTCGAACAGATAAACGATATCAGCGTACTCTAAATCGCGACGAGACTGCACCCTGACGTGGTTTGATGGCTTGCGCGCCTCAGTGACCCTGCGAGCTACACAGGATGGCTTCTCACAGCCGTAGATCCAATCATGCCNAGGCCAAACGAACACCAGTCTCACAAGACCAGTTGCTTGGGCATCTGGCTTCCTTTTCTATGCACACCTGCCCCTGGAAAGGCCACCCCAGTAAATAAACGCGGTGAGGGGCAGTTTACCGGTCAAAAACCCCCGTTAGATGGACGTAGGAGCGGGGTGCTTGGGGCTTCCTCTCGACGGTGGGAGTTCTTCGCAATTCATTGGACAGCTACCGCCCGCCCAAGCTGGGCAGCCCCCAGCCAATAAGGTGCTGTCCCGTCCACGTTCAGCCTGTCTCATTGGGTGCATGAGGCTAAGGGCTGATCCCGAAAAGGGGACCGATAATCAACGCACCAGCGA